TCTTTTTTGGAAATGAGACCTTTAATTTGGTTAAAATTATCCTCAGTAAAGTAAATATTTAAATTGCGGCCAGTCATAATATATATTTTGCATACTTACTTAACTAACTTAATTACTTTTTCCCTAGCCTTCTGTTCTCGCTTTTTTTGCTGTCAGTAAGCCCTTTTTTGCTTCGTGTTGATTAATGTTGAAAAAGGTTTTTGTTGTATTATTCTCCTCTTGCCCATTCTCTGCTGATCAATATTTAGGTTAATGAAAATTGCTTCAAAGGAGCTAACTCTTGCTGTCATCATTCTTGGATATAGCCAGTTTTGCTACTAACCAAAGTCTGGTTAATAACACATTTTTCTAAACCGGTGGTGTTCAATCCGGTTTTTTAATCCCGTGACTTTTTCCACGACAATAATATCTACTTGAATTTTACCCCAAGCTGAGGGAGGATTTCGGGCGGAACAAAGTTGTCTTTTGTGATACTTGTTTATTACCGTACCGTATGCAAAAAAACTGTCCCCGCTACAAAAGAGGAAGTAAACTTTCTTCCAGCAAACCCTAATTGTTAGTTAATTAGTTACCCTCAACTATTGTCGTAGCCCAACGTTATACAAGTAATTAGTTAAACAAAAAGATTCATTTTTTTAGATAACAGGAAGCAAATAATGCTCCTAATAAGAACCCTCCCAGGATGCCACCAACAGTTCCACCAATAAATTCAACATGAGAAAATTTTGCTGTTTCTGTAACTGTTGAAGCATAAGTTATTGTCGTTGTTGGCAAGCCGCTTGCTGTGCTGATAGGTGATGGAGACGGAAGTAGATTTTTAGATAAACCTATCGCTCCTCACTGCCTTATGCATTCACCAAGAATAATGGGAGTGGAAGACAGAGGAATTCCATCAACAGCGATTGGTGTTGCTCCTCCTCACGCTGAGCAAGTTCAACCTCCATTGTCCGCAAAACACATTCAAATAATCGGCCAGCCTCGACAATAATAAGGAGTTGCTCAACCATTATTTACCACAACGCTACTTGGTGTAAAACAGGTAGCAGCACCTTCGCTGTCAACAGGACCACCATTGTAACAACAAGCTCAAGTAAAATCTGAGCCCGTGGTAGGACCATACGCCAGGTTTCTAGCCATCGCTTCTACTTCATTCGCTCGAAGACAAGTGCCGTTAGTTAAATTGACAGGTAAAGTATCACCTAGAATTCCACCACATAAGCCACCAAATCTTCCACTAGTGCTGGAACCAGAGGTGACACAAAAAGTCGACTGACCGATTTTGTCACATTTAGCACTTATATCGGCAGTTTGTTTGTTTGGAGATAATTTGTATATATCTAAATTACTATCGCAGCATTCCCACGGTTGAGAACAACCGGAACATTTACCATTATAACAGCAAAATATTCACTTACCATCAGTTACGTTTTTGTTAGTACTGTCATTATAAAATCTAACAAGTTCTCCGTATAAAACATTACCTAAACATAATTTAAATTGTTGACCTGTTTCTACTCGTGTTGTCTCAAGCAAGTTAAATATTAGCAAGATTCAAATTTTTATACTAGTTAGGAAAGTTAATCTCATACACTATTTGATATTTATTTATAAGTTTATTTGCATTTTTTTATTATGTTTTCGAAAGGAGGCGGTTGGGGGAATAAGGTGTTTTTTGTTTATTTTTCCACCATTTAATTACTTTGTAATTAAAAAAAATATTTGCCTGGGGTTTTCGCTCTCGCGTGCGTAAAGAGATAAGATAAGAAATTAGAGAGAAACGTTATAGTGAAGTGAACCTTGATTCTTTGGCTGGTGTTCGGTTTAATCCTAGTTTTCTTTGAAAAAAAGAAAAGAGAGTTCTCTCGTTTGGCTGGGATTTTTTGCTTTTTGATGAAGTCGAGGTGGTTCGGGTTGGCTAAAAAAGTGTTGAGAATAAAGGTGAACCTTGATTATTTTGCTTTTTGAGCTTGGGAAAATTATAAGGAAAGTTTTTTTGTTAAAAAAAAAAAGTTTGTATAATAAATAATAATTCAGCAAAAATATGGAACTAAATTTGCCTTTGATTTGAAAGTCAC